TTTCTTTATTGCAATGTGGGATTTGATTATTTACTTTCTTTTGGTTGGGGAAAGTACACTACAATAGAGTAGGGCTCATGTTACACCATGGACCTATTGCGTGGCATACTTTCCCTTTTAATCCCACCCAAATCAATATGATTATCAATGTGATTTGAACCCAATACACAGGGTTTGCAGCAAAGAACTCTAAACCACTTAAGGTATGAGGATTTCAATGGCACTAAGGAAAACATAAATTTCTTTAAGGATGTGTAGAAGATGAGAATACAAAAGTATATCCTTTTTAGGCAATGGTTTAAAAAATGGATCAGTGACCCGGATCGGGTTCCCAAAAAACCGATTCGGATCGGTGAATCGGCGATCCGGATCGAGAATCGGGTGAATCGGTCAGAATAAAGCTTAAAAAAAATCCGAAAAAATTATTAAAATTCATTATAAATATTGCTTTTTAGGAATTCAATAAGAAATGAGGGTACTCCATTAAAAATTTTCATGTTTTTGAATGAATATGCGAATATTGATATGTTCTTTCCCTGCATGAACCGCCATTCAGCATTTAATTTACATCACACAAAAGGATAAACATAGAATTATCATGGAATAAGTATATCAACATACATGGACTACAATAAAGCATAAAATTAGTAACATATGATCTAAAAATAAAATGATAGACGACGTTATTGTTCTTCTTGCTCACGCTGGTGCCATTGATTGAATTCGTTTAACAATTCATTGATTCGATCTAAAAACGAATCATCGATATTAGCAGGCGTCTGATTATTCCCAAATCTCTGAGTGTTAGTGTTTTGTTGTGTTCCCAATCTAAAATCCCCGAAGATTGTCCATCCTTCATGCTCACCTGTACTGTCGTGCTCATCCTTACACTGTTGCTATTGGGACTCGATATGTGAATAATATGGCTGGGATAAGCTGGCCTCAGAATCATCATCTCTCTCATTTTCTCTTTGAATAATATGGAATTAAAAAAAAAAAAACAAATTTTCAAAAAAA